ACATACCTAATTTTAAGAATTTTTTATCACTGCACATTTTATGCCAAAAATTTCCGAATGACTAAGAAAATTTCAGAATAGTCGGAAATTTTTGGCGACCTCCCCCCCCCCCGGACATACCAAAAGCCAGATATTAACTAAAAATTGCCTGAATCTCATGATTTTCGTACAAAAAACATATACTATTATTTAATTCGATAATTTGGCAGTCATCATTTCAATTTCAATTGAATCATTCTCTTGTGTTAATTAACAACTTATCAAAGCAAATTTTATCACTGCACATTTTACATTTTATCACTGCACATTTTACTTTTATCACTGCACAAATTGGTTATCACTGCACACTAAAATTATGTATGCCTCAACACCTTTTTCAAACAGGAGGCAGTACGTAGATCCACCAAATTGGAAGGTGCCTAGAGGATCACCTTTCTTCACTTCCTGCCCATAATAGACCTCAAGAGGACAACTTGAGATCTCAGCCATTCCAACTGCGACAAAGATCACGGTACCAATTTCTGGTTTCCCTGTATCAATGTGGATTATGGCTCGGGTATCTACGTGACTGAGATAACGTTGTGAATATGTATTGGCTGTTGGATCGTAACCCACCGAGAGAGCTTCTGCATAATACGCGCCTTCCTTGATGTATGCCTTGGTTATTGTACCAGCAACTGGTGCATGCCAGCGATGGTAGTTGGCAGTATCAAGAAAGGCTTGGAAGACAGTGCCTCCTACGTACTTCTCGGTCAAGGGATCATCATTGAGCAGATGCTGTAAGCTGTATGGCTGTGACTTGATCCAAAATTGATCTCGGAGCTTTGGGTTTCTCTCGATGAAATATGGGCAAGCATCACATGGAGAACAGACCACGTATGGATCGCCGGGCTCAGCGATCGGACGAACTTTGTCGTTTTTCAACTTTCTGGCAAAGAAATCATTCCACGACTGGAATCCATAGTAAGGATCAGCTAAATCTACTTTGTATGTCTTCAGGAAGCCAGGCATTTCTGCTAAAGAGTCTGGACTCAACCAACCATCCTTGCGATAAAACAAGAAAATACCATGTTTACAATACGTTTACAGTATGCATGCTTACATATGGTTTATTTTGTATAGTAGTCCATTACATTAGTTTTTGGTATTATCATGCATTCTACGATCAAAACACTAAATTTGGCACAGTTACGATTTCATGCGACAAAAAGAAAAAGGCATCTCAGATGGTTGTGAGAAAATTTTTTTTTTCTAAATTGCCTAATAAATTCCTATAAAATTGTTTGTAAAGTTGAAGTTTCAAGTTCACTCTTGCTAGATATTACCTGTTTCGTTAGAAAGATCACAAAAAAACTATGTACAAAGCATTGATTAAGTAGTACGGATTTTATGTCTATATTATATTATATTATACCTTATTTAATTCTGATCGTTTAATTGGCTGTTTATGGTCACGTGATATTTAGAAAATTCCATTTTCCAAGAGTGCAATGGAATACGTAATTCCATTGCACTCTTTGCGAGTGCAATTGTACTATACGTTTTATTCCTTTGCACTCTTTGTGTTTTCGATAAATCGCATCCGTCAAAATGCTTCTCATACGAATCTATTAGTCTATTTTGGTATTAGGCCTATATAAAACAACTAATGAATATTTATTCGTAATAGTAAAAATATTTTCATTCGGTGTAAGATGGAATGTTCCAATCAACTCGACTGTCGTCTCGTTGAATGGAACATTCCATCTTTCACTTGATGAAAACAGGGGCGCCGGAGCCACGGGGGCAGCGGGGGCAGCTGCCCCCGTTGCCTAAACAGTGCGGGGGCAGCACGGTTGCAGCAGGTTGCCTTTTTACCAAAACTGCACTTCGAACGTCATGCGTTTTTCACATGAATTGAAATTGAAAACTGTTTTTAAACAATTTAGCTCATACTTGAATCTGAATTCCTCTCAGAAACGTTACAAATCAGTTTCAACCTAATATGAAAAAAAGTAAAAAAGGAAACCTTCCTAAATAACTGATAACTGTCATGTTGCTTTACAATACATTTTAGTCTTTAGTGTCATGCAACGAATAAAAATTTTCCAATCTATGCCGAAATTTGTCTAACTGTATTAGGTACAAGTAATGAAGTATCCGTTATACAGCAAAATGTTAACGAGCATTGCCCCCCCCCCCCGCACAAAAATTGAGGCTCAAGAGTAAGTGCCCTTTTTACATGGCTGCCCCCGCCGCTTCATGTTGCTTCCGGCGCCCCTGGATAAAAATATTCTTATTATTGCACTCATAAACATTCATTATTTGTATATTGGATTAAATGTTGTTTATTTAACAAGCCTTCGTTGGTCCCTAGCTAGGAGAATTTCGACGTTTTGAGCGAAGATCCTTCTTCTGGAGTCACTAGGGGATTGCATGAACGTTTATGCTAAGAATATAAAAGCGATCGTATGACAAAAAATATACCATTCAGATGGATTTATTAAAAACAAAGTATAAACAAAAAATATAAATCCATTATTAGGGTTGGACGATATTTCGATATTTCGATTTATCGCGATATTTTCAATCACAATTATCGTATCGAAGGTAGAAACTTGAGCAACGATATATCGAAATTATCGTCATGCTCGATGACTATCGTGATATTGCTTCACATGTGCATATAGCTGTTATAAAATCCTAAAAAGTTCTTTTCAATTCCTAGAAAATATAGTTTTTAAAAGAATTAAAACTATTTCCTGAATTAAATACGAATTTAATACGATAAAAAGCTAATATTTATGTACTAATCTGCTGAAATTGCAGGCTTTGCTTGCGCTGTGTGCCAACGGCATTTGTGCCAGCGGAGACACTGTAGACATTGCATAGACAGTTCTGGTTTACGAACAGTCAACAGTAAATGTTTGACTAGAAAAAGCCTTCATATTACTTTAATTTGTTGTTTTACTTGTTTTTAATAAGATTATATATGAGCTTACTATATGTTAGATATTAATTAAAATTGATAATTTCCTTGACAATAATCGTGAGATGATTTTTTTAATATCGCCCAACCCTATACAGAGTACATAATATACAACAGACAACAACAGACTGATTAGCATCATTGTCAATGACTGCACGCCGAGGCTCACCACGAGATGCAGTAGATGAAATGGGAAGAGGTATACACGTGAAATGGTGCTTGACATGCAGGTATTCAGATTTTGGTGCCTAAATGGTGGTGGCATGCAGAATCTACAAAATCACATGTTTTGCATTTGGCAACCCGGCCGGTAAGGAAATGTGCATTCTGCGTGACGACAAATCTTGTGATAGTAAGCTATGAATTAGGATTGTAAAAGATCACTCAAACTCACTCTCAAAGAGTGGAGGTTAAATCCGAGCTTCCCATGAGTGTCAGTGCTGTTTTTGAATAGCTGGATGGATGGTTAGAATCGTACCTTAAATACTATATGTGACTACTAACCCATCAGCTATTCCGCAAAAATATCATTGAAACTCATGGGAAGCTCAGATTTAATCTCCACTCTTTGAGTGCGAGTGAGCTTTTAGAATACAAGCGTAAGAGGTTATCGGAGAAAATGGAAGATGTTTCGGGGTCGTGTTTCAAAATATGGAAATTCTTTCTCATGACATCTCTAACTTTGAAATTGAAAGGATGATAAGTTATAATACTAGGGGGGATTGTGTTGTTACCTGTGATATTAATTGGACACAGGGTCTGTAAGGGTCTGAGCTCGTGGAATTTGGGAGGCCTTCGAAAAGGGAGTGCCTAATAGCTATAGAGAGGTTGGATAGCCACGTTGGACAAAAACATGTCTCATGCATTTCCAGACTTTTGGTTTGAGAGTCTAGACCTTTTGGTGTGGCTGGGGTGGGAAGAGGAAAATAGTAGATAGTTGTGGGAGTCGGTAGGCTTGCAGAACACAGGAGTAACTAGTATTTACAAAGGTATTTTTGCATAGCATTTTCCTTATAGTTAATATAGCCTAAATTGGTTGGCAAAATTACATTACTCACTTATATATTGTAGTTCTTTGTGATATTTCTAATGATGCAGGTGATGTGTAGAAAAAGAAAACTTTTTTGAATGTGGAAATTTATAAGAAAATTTATAAAAATGCTGTTCTGTCCCAACCATGGGCAAATCTGAGCTCGAGATGCAAATCTGAAATCTTATTGTTACATGAGTGCTAATCATACTATAATCATTGTGTCAAAGTTTGTGCTCTCTTCACAAATTAAATGATTTTTCTGACCGATGTGCTGGACTGTAAACTTGGATAATGATCGAACAGAGGCATTGTGGCATTTTTACTCGCTCTTCTATAACTATTAAACTGTTAATATTGTAATATTTGGATAAGTTTAAAAGAAATGTAATATATTTTTAACATAACAAATGCATCTTCGTTAACATTGTCAAAACCTCCGGCTTTAAAACCTCCGGCACAACTCACCTTGTGATATGATATGAAACATTTACACCCGTTTTCAAAATTACGCGACCAAGGACGAAAATACTAGAGTTAACATGTCAGTTTTATGTCATTCGATCACGAAGTTGAAACTTTGAGTTTCGCGGTTCCTTGTCCATGTATATGCTTTGTATGCTTCATATAAACAGACTTACAATGATTTTCAAGATATTTTAGTGAGAATTATTGTAAAATTTAAGCACAACAAAATCATAACATCACCGTTATAGTCTAGCGCGCGTGTTTTATACTGACAGCTAAATTCCAGGATAAATTGTTATTTTTCAAACTTTAATAGTCATTCACGGCACATATTTCTGTTGTGATGGTTTGTATTGTGCTTTAGTTTGTATATCTAAGTTATCTGACTCATTTTTGTTCAGTTTTGGTATTAAATACGGTTTAAAATGTCTTTAGACAGTTTGTTTACGTTTGCTATTTTTGGCAGTTCTTGTGACATAAAACTGACATTTGAAGTAGGAGTATTTTTCAGGGAGGTCGCGTAATTTTGAAAACGGGTGTAATCAAAATTGAAATTTATTTACCATAAAGATACTGACAATACATTTCCTCCTAAGATGATTGAAATGTTACCTATAAAGACTAATATTAATCGACATTATTCGCACTTAAAGATTCAACATTAATCGCACTTAAAGATGGCTGAAATCTGTTTTCACCAAATTATAAAATATTCCTGCAAAGCAATATCTACCAATATATATGTATAACATTGTAAGATGACAAAAAATAATTCAAGAAAATGTTACAGTACATTCATTGGCATAGGCTATTTTGGCATGCATGTCAACTTTTTGCATTGAATTTAACGGCCCAGTTCTGCATCGCTTTTATTTATGCTGTCCTGTTTCATTTACCTGCTTGTTCAAGACCTCTCGTGAATCTGGACTATTCAGAAGCTGCGCCCGGCTGTTGAGAATATCCCTGAAGCATTTGTTGACTTTATCGTTGATAAAAGCCATGGTTCCTGAAGGTGTTGCCATCACATATATCAGGATGTGGTTGAGGAGTGCACTACCAAGCGTACTACCGTACTCGGGAGCGCTGGTAATGATGGTCTGCATCTTCTTAAGCATATCCATGTAGTCTGAGATTGGATTCTCTTGAGGTGGGTCAAATTCTTGAGTAAACGTGGTCGTGAAGAGCATGTTTACTTCTGGGTCGGTTTCAATCAGATCCTGTAAGGCTAACAGTGAAGGATGGGTAACATCCCGAGCTCTACGCATTCCCTTCACATATTTGCTGATAGTTTTCAGGTCGGCGGTAACCCAGCGTCCAAGGGTATAGGTTTTTGACATTTTTGCAAGGAATTTTTCTACAAATATATAAACGGCGTAAATGTAAACTAAACACAATAAAGTTACACGTTTGTAACACCTCCATGCTAAATTTCTGGGTGTTGTTATAACATGAAAGTGGTCTAAATAATCAGCTCTGTAGATATTTGATTTTTCACCAAACTTTCACAAAAAAATGTTAATACTTTCCAATCTTGAAGAAAAATGTTAAAATTTCGTTTTTCTCACTGGAAAGAGCTTTGAAAATAATTAATAACTGAAAATGCATGCATTCAGCAACTCCTCCTTCTTAACAGTAGCCTGCTCGCAGAAGTTTATTTCTTACGCCAAACGACAAAAAACTAACGTCTGCTAACTGACCCGAGGCCGAGCGCCATGTACAGAATGAATTCTGCTACGTCAATTATATAACAAATTATCAGAATTTACCGCTTCCAAATTCTGGAAAGTGACGTCCCCAGTTGATTTAGGAGCGGAATAAATATAAATAAATATTTTGAAAGCAGTCGTCGGTTGAATTTTGGTCAAAATTGCACATGAATTTTATTTTTAAAGATATTGATACTTGTCCAGGTAATAAAATGCACCATTATAATGATCAGATTCGGATATTGGAGATGTTCGGTTATATTTAAAACGCGGACGTACAGGATGGAATTATACTGTATGCATCTAGGCCAGACAGCATCAAATGACGAATATATTTCGTTGAATTTGGGGGACGTTTAGCTTAATCTTTCAGAAGTTTTCGTCGAAATCATGATGGCATATAGGAAGTATCAAGAGCAACATTTGGACATATCCTGATATACCAGAGTTTCCCGATCGATTGTCGTTTGTCATTGACATTGTTAAATTGACAAAAATTTAAATTTCGCCTACTGCATTGCTTTTGCATTTTTTTTTATATATATGTATATATATATATAGGCTACACCGATTGTTTGCAGAACATGCGAGAATTAATAGATGATCGCAATATTATTCTACGTAAACATCGTGACGTTCAACGCTACATAGTTTCCAAAATATATCCACGTAAGTAATTAAATTTCAAATTTTCAACCCAAACGTGCAAGGGCTTTCCCCAGTAGCTAATTCCTCAATAAAGCGGCTTCCAATTGGCTCTAACTTTTTTTAATACTTCCAGATGATTGGCTCTTAAAACAAAGGGAATGGAATGGCAGCTCGTTTGGCGTCTGCGAGCAGCTAGCTAACTTCCAGATGATCTTGATACGCGGAAAAGTACTGGCACTAGTTGTCAGAAATCCATTTTATGATTAAAACAACTGAATATCTTCTGTAATATGCTTTATCTCGATTCCATATTTTTGTCAGAGCTATAGTTCTCATAACCAAACATAATTACAAAATTTCAACTAGTTTCATAAAGAATAACGAAATATATAATTGACTGAATACATCAAAATGGATTTCTATTCGGACAACCCTTTCTGAGCGCTGATTGGCTAAAATACGAAGACGAGATCACCTGGTTAACATGAGGTATAGAAATTCCACGTACATCAGTAATAGTGCGGGTTGCCATGATAACGTATAAATAATATTATGGGAAAATATTAAATTTTTAACTAATCGTTGATTTTCAAAATATAGAATATAAATGTATATATTAAATTATTAACTTTGCCGTGAATCTGTAGTGGAAACTGAAAAATTAAGTCTATGTAATTTTGCCAAAAATACGGTAAAATATATTAATTTTGCTTTAAAGACACAAGTTTTTTTACAGTTCTCTTTTTGTCGAGCCAAATTTTTGTTGTAGCCAGCTGGTAAAAGACCATTATAAACGCACATGCATGATGGATTAATTTAAATACATGCATGCATGTGCATAATGTCGCAGAAATGAATAAAACTGTCGAAAGCAAGTATGGTATCAAATTTTACCACTGAAATGTTTATACCCTTAGGCCCTATACCGAAACATAGCCAAGACAACGATTAAGTTATATTAAAACAAAATGCTTGATATTTTGTGCTAAGTTTTGCACCAGATCTATAGTGGATAAATTCATTTCTTGCATGTTTTCTTTTACGAAAAATAGCTAAAAATGGGCTAAATATTATAGCTAGTACGTAAATATCATGACATATTCATTGTGGCCATCTACAGCTGAATTGATATATAACTAATTCAGTGTAGCGCCGGCCTCGGTAGCTAATTTGGTTATAGAGCGGTGCATGCACTGGGATCGCAGTGTCGCCTAGGTTTGCAAGAGGACATATCGTTGCATTTTTCGCAACGCTTCTGCATGCTTAGGTCTAATAAACATACATGAAATTGACATTCGAAATTGCCATCTACAAAACCATTCTACACTTAAATAGAATGCATATATATGAGAATAGAACGAGTTAATACTGATTAATTAAAGCACAAGAGAAATAAAATATAATTAAATTAACAAACCTCGATAAAATAGTATTCTTGACTCTATAGAACTCTCGACAAGGGTCCCAACTCTAATCCTCCAGGTAAGGTTGAACTGATAAATGTTGGACTTGATTCATCCAAATTTATATGATCGTATGTCAAGTATTTGTGAGGATTAATTTTACATTTGAATGCTGGCTCTGGATATTTACATGATTGTCAAGTGGACAACAATTATGACAGTTCACATGGGTTGAAGTCGGCCGCTCCATTCATGCGGCCGAATCCAACAAACGTACAAGCGAGTGCTTGACGTAGTTGACGTTAAGTTATTGTCGTTCATTCTTTGAAGCTGATCCAAAAGCGAAAGGGCTGCTTTGTTTCTATATAAATGCAAATTAATTATGTTATCCTTCTTCACTCGTGTTTCTATACTGAGCACAAATACCGGCTTTTAATATTCCGAGTTTTAAAGATTATACAGCTTTCAGTATTCTGGGTTTTAGAGATTCCAGCTTTTAATATTCTGGGTTTTAGAAATTCCGGCTTGTACTATAGTATTCCGGGATTTTCCATTCCATATTCTCCGTTCCCCAATTCCCCATTCCTTGTTTTAGAAATTCATCGATATTTTAGAAATAATCTGAAATTAAACGAGGTACGTGTACTTTGTTTGCTAATTGAATGCAGTCGGGCAAACAAAATGACATTAGAGTGACTAGGTTGGTTGATGTAGGCAAGTTTCGATTTACGGCTCCAGGGGTTATTTCAACAGGATAGCACTCACGAGTAAGCAAAGCGGCCGATTCATCCTTCCGAATCGATATCTAGCTATAGAGCTGTTTCTACTCATGAGCATGCACAAATACAAGGGGCGGGAATTGACCATTTGCGTAATAGACAAAATTTTGATCTCAACAAGTCTAGCCAAAAATTTCAACACAGCTTGAAAGAGCATCACAAAATTAGTAATATTCCAAAGTTTCGTTGCGAAATGTTGTAAAATGCGGATAATATAGCTTTGCGGAGTTTGCAATTTTCAGTCATTTTAGATTACAAACGGGAAATTGACAGCCTCAAAGCGCATCGGGCTATAATTTACAATAGTTTTGGTTAAGATATAGCATCAGCTAAGGAAAATGGAAATTAATTGAGCTGTAACCATAAATTCATGTATATATAGGTGTGCGGGTTGTGAAAATGCAGCACAGGGTCCTCTGGTAGGAATTGAACCTCTGCAATTCCAGTGCAGCGCTTTAACCAACAGAGCTACGGAGGCCAGCTGTTAAGCTGTAACCGTAAGTTCATGTATATATAGGTGTGCGGGTTGTGATAAGGTGGACTTCAATTATCTGGTTACTTGCACTTCGCAACAGCTGGCCTCTATAGCTCAGTTGGTTAGAGTGCTGCACCGGAATCGCAGGGCCATTGGTTCAATTCCTACCAGAGGGCATTGTGCTACATTTTATGCAGTCATTCCTCGTCAGGTCTTGAAGTGTATATATACTCACTTGGATTACAAACCCTAAAAACAGCATTCTAATATTAATTCCACCAAGTGAAGTGCAAGAAACCAGATCATTGAAGTCCACTTTATCACAACCCACACGCCCGATCACCTATATATCCATGAACTTACGGTTACAGCTCAACAGCTGGCCTCTGTAGCTGCACCGGAATCGCAGGGCCGTTGGTTCAATTCCTACCAGAGGACCTTGTGCTACATTTTATGCAGTCATTCCTGGTCAGGTCTTGAAGTGTATATATACTCACTTGGATTACAAACCCTAAAAACAGCATTCTGATATTAATTCCACCAAGTGAAGTGCAAGAAACCAGATCATTGAAGTCCACCTTATCACAACCTGCACACCCGATCACCTATATATCCATGAACTTACAGTTACAGCTAAACAGCTGGCCTCTGTAGTCTGTAGCTCAGTTGGTTAGAGCGCTGCACTGGAATCACAGGGCCATTGGTTCAAT